ACTCCCCTCTAACTTTTCGCTACTAAGGTCATTGTTGTAATAACTAAGCCTTAACATACATCTTTTTATATTTGTCAATCACTTTATTGGGATAAATGTCTAGAAATTAAATTGTTACGATTTGCACATTTTACATTTTGGCAGACACTGCCAAATTGTGGTTTTTAAAAATGTTGTACCAGTTTATACACTCAAGCTTTGAGAATTTTATACAGAATTTAAAATTGGAAGAGGTTTTACTTTAAGAAATTAACAAATGAAGGCTAATGATCATTTGCGCAACTTCCAAATATTTGTTTGTAGTGCGGTTTAATATCTATTTCCCTTATCTATGAATTGAGGGCATAGGGTTGAATTCACATGAGTAACAGTATTTATATAGCACTGAAATAATTCTAAGTTCGTGAGTTTGACAGAAAATATTTATTTGCATCTCTTACTTGGTTTTGAAATTTGGGGTCTCCTCAAATGTCCATAGCTGCCCTCTCACTCTGGGATGAGGTCAGTATTAGCAAACAGATGATCAATGGGTTATCACAAGCATCAGCTTACACCAAACATCAACCTGTCTGCTCTAAACTTCACACCAATTCACTCACTCAGCAGCCTTGCACTAGTCCAAATCCTTCAAAAGCAATATGCTGTCACTGTTGTCCTCACTATTTCTATTTCTATTACAATTGCTAAAAGAATTCTTTATTGCAATGCCTTGGCGTTCTAATGCATACGCCTCTGGCAGCTTTCAATAAGGTAATAAGGAACAATGAGGTAAAAATAAGTATGAAGCAATGCTTTAAATATTTTAATTTAAAAAACACTTTAAAATGAATGGTAATGTGCAGTGTGTAATAATTAAGTCATAAATGCATACCTCTAAATATAGAGTTTGCTTAATATAGCTTTAAATCAGGCTAGGTGCAAGTTACACAGATGATTCTATTCAGAGCAATCTTTTTATACATCATTTCCCTAAGCAGTGACTGCAGAATAAATGATTCATTAGGCTCTTATAACTTCTTGTCTCATGTAATTTATCTACATAATTTTAAATTACTAGAGACTCTCAAGGATCTTTTCTCACTAAAGTGTTTTGAAATTATCCATATTTTATTAAGTTTCAAGGACAACCCTTCACACACACACCCACACACCCTCACATTTGAAATTAAGTAACCATTTAAATTGCTGTCATAATTCATATATTCATAAGGGAGGAAACTAATGCTAAATTAGAAAGTTACATTTAGCAAACCATTCATCCTTTTTTATCTGTTACCCAACAACTGGTGATTAGAAGGACTTGAAGCTATTTTAACCCCCTGGACAGCGAAATCCACTTTCAAGGATCCTTGGTTAGGCTGCCTTTCTCAATGGAGTGCCCTCCTCCTCGCTGTATTGCATATGTAATAGGCGTGAGTGTTCTTCAAGTTGGTATAGCAATTTCCTACATTATTCCCGCAATAAAAATGCGACTTAGCCAAATATTAAATTATTGCAATTACAAATCTGTTAATCTAGCGCACATTTTACTCATTTGTGTAACTTTAAAATTCACTTTCATTTGATTGACTGTTTTAATCTCCCTTAACTAGTGAGTAACTGAAAATAAAGGGTTCGTTCCTAGCACTGCGAGGACGAAAAATAGGAAGTGCTTAGGGACTGCAGGGGGATATATTAAAATCTGTCCGTTTTCTCGTTTACATATTCTCATTCTGCGTGTGTACAAACCCACTGCAGTGAGAAGGCAGAGCCCCAACTCGCGGTCTCACAAAAGCACCGCCCTGGTTCCCTGTGCTGACAGCAGAAATTGGCCACATCTCGAGCCATTTCCTCGAAAGACCCTGCCTGGCTGGTGCCATCCAGGTGCCACACACTGGGAACAGGGGCGCCGGGGACAGTTCCAAGCATCTGTCAGTGCGGTGGCTCATTCTCGAGAGACTGCGATTGGCTGCCTGGGACCCGAGCGCCATCAATCTTACCGGGTAGGGGATGGCGGGGCGGCCTGTAGGAGGCTGAGAGAGGGGCCAGCGGTCCAGCGCAGGGGAGGTGGCCTTAAAGCCCTGCTCTCCCTCCCCGGGGCGCTGAGTGAAAGACTGTCATCTCTCCCGTTTCCTGGTGCTTGGTATGCACATGGTGTCCGCCTGCTCCTGCTCCAGGAAAGAGGCGATTTTTCAAGCTTAGGCAAATGTGGCAAAGCGCAGGGTCTGCTGGGGTCTCATTTTTCCTCATCATGTCACTGGTTTGAACGGATTTGAGAAAATGAGATTATGTTTTTCCTCTTTGCTCCTTTATCCAGCTATTTGTTTATTTATTTGCTCATTTAGAGGTGGGTTGTCACAGAGAACTGGCCCGATTTCTCTCTTGTTTTCATACACATTTCATTAGTGTCCCTGAAGATTTAAGACCCCAAAGGGAAACATCCCAGATCTCATCACAAAAAGCATAGATTTACTCTTAAAATCCAAACAGAAGGCCACATTAAAGACCGTTCCTGAGTGAAATAATCTAGAATATTGCCATGTCCAAGATCGATTGCTTTAATCTTTTTCAGCTATTCTTAACACCCCAAGGAAGTTGAATAAACATATTACAGAATTGGACTTTCAATTTAATATCGTTTTAATCTTTCTGTGTCTGGAAAGAATATTCATAGTTTCTTCATTTCACCAATAAATCTGAAATGAGTCTCAAATATAAAAGCACTTGGAGTTGAAGTTGGTGTCAGTGCTGGTTTCCTGGGGTATTTGAAGCACAGATTGATGACATAACACTATGCATTGGTGATCATAAGCAATTTCTGAGGGTAGACAATGAGAAAACTAATACTGGGTTTCACTTCAGCCAGAACCTAATGGTGTGTTTCTGAGTTTAAAATTATAACATTTTTATAATACGCCTCATAAAGACATGAGTTTATTACGTAGCATCGTCATAACCCCTCATTAAAAAAAAAAAAAAACCCTCGAAGATTAACTGATTATCAGAGACAGTGCATGTGAAGCTTATTGCAAACTGCGCTGTTTCTCCTGGCTGTGTGCATCGAGAGGGAAACAAGACACATCACATTTGATGACTACGCTAGCCAGGTACCATGTGCTTTAAAACAACAGCAAAAGTGAAAACGAAGTTTTGACCTCGGTGGATGGACTAGATGTGTGAACAGCAAATGTTGGTCATCAACATCCCTGGCCTTCTGTCCTCAGTTGGTAAGTGGGACGATGTCAGTAATTCCTGATATTAATGAAGAGCTTTACAACTTACAAAGCACTTCCGAGGAGATTGCTCCATTTACACCCCGAAACATCCCTGGAGGGGAGGGAAATGGAGCCCAGGAAGAAAAGGGACTTGCCCAAGGTCAGGGCACTAATGTTAAAAGGCAATGGCCAGTTCTGCGCTCTGCTTCATCATCATATGCCACCCCCTCCCCCTACTTGGCATTGTTCTCTGCCCTGAGAGGCATTGCTTACAGCCTCCTGGGGACCAGGCTCGGGGGAAATTACTGCCCTGGCCGCCAGTGGCTGTCACTGCCCTGTGGTCTCAGCCACCCCATCCCTCAGAGCTTCCCTCTGGAGGCCGGAGGAGGGGGCAGGGCTTGCACCGACTTGCACAAGGGCCAACCCGAGCCACAGCATTACCTGGGGAGTAACTGAAACTCCGGCAGTGGCGTTTGTTAAGTGTCCCTGCGGTTAAGCAGGACCAGGGATGCAGGTTCCCCGCGCGATTTGCATGACTATGTAACAAGTCAAAGACATTTGTGCCAGAACGGATCTGTGACTAACTGACTGGAGGCGACGTGCGGGTTCCCAAACCCACGTCTGCGGCTCCTCCGCCTGGACCGGAGCCAGGG